ATTGGCGCGAATGAGACAAACCCTACGACGCCGGGACTCTCTCTCTCTCTCTCTCTCTTACTTTCTTTCTTTCTTTCTATCATTTACCAGTTCACATAGGATAAATTAATATGCAATTAAATAATGTCTCTAATGATACAATTAAAAATCAATACATACGGCAACCGCTTGCAAGCGTTTAGTCCTTAACCTGGAGGCAAGTTTCAACGTAAACGTATTGCCAGCGCCGGTACCCCCGACACTATTACCCTGAGCGTTGTCCACCTCATCCGCACCACCATCAGGATTATTATTATCATCACTAATCCTCAATTCACCAAAACGGACGCCAATATTGGGTGAATTATCGCCCATATCTTTGGCATTATTATTGTTATAATTATTGTGATTATGATTACTATTGCTGTTATTATTATTAGTGTGAATATCGTTTATAGTGAACACATTATTGTCGCTCATATCGTGGTCATCGTCGGTGGTAAACCTAACCACTCGCTGCTGATCGCCACCGCCGCCGACACTAGACTTCAGGGATTCAATGGGTTCCACACTATCGGCCCCGACGGACAGCTCACCCACCGATTGGGACTTGAGTTTCAGGCCGGAGGGCGTCGACGAGGTGTATATCGTGTGACTATTGATTCAGGTAAAAACACATTGAAATTAACAAATCACATACACTATAATCTAGGTTAGGCTAATCAGGTACAGTGCACTTACTCCTTGTAGGCGCCATCGGACTCATCCAACTCGATGCCGGCCAAATCGGTGATGCGGTGCTCGTGGTTATCCCAGCGGCCAAAACACAAGTCAATACCGCCGACAAAAGCGTAGGACTGGTCAATGATGACCAGCTTTTCGTGATGCGACCACAGGAGTGGTCCGCCCCGTACGGCGTCCGGATGGCGCAGCACTCGGATGTTTGGGTGCAGTTTCATGAGCCACTGTTTGGTGAACAGCGAGTTTATACTGATGCCCAGCTCTACCTCTTTGTACACTAGTATATACACCCGCACGCCTTCGCGCGCCTTGCGCTCCAGTATGCGGTCCAGTCGCGAGTGGTCGCCATCTATTACCTAATGGTTATGTGTGTTTGACATATAAAGTTAGTGTACTGTATAATTGTGGTAATAATTAATTATTTGTGAATATTTTTCTATGTAAAAAATATTTATAAAAATATTATGTAATTTTGTGGACATTATATCCAATGTTAGGGAAACTATAAGCTGATAATCAAGAGAAATAACACACATCCCGGAGCTCAAGGTTAAAGATTAGGGTTAGGGTTGGGGTCAGGTATCTAAACAAAAGCATAGGAGACATACGCACAGGCCTTCGCATATAGATGTGCGGACTCAGCCACCAGTCGGCAATGAATATCTCCTCCTGCGCCGACTCCATGGCTTCGGCCACAGCCTCGAAATGGTTGGCCCCGTCGACAAACCACTGGGCGCTGGTCTCCTGCCGGACGGGCGCAAACGAGCCGTACCGGTTAGGGCTGGTAAAGTCGCTGCCATAGGTGCTGGCCGTTTGCAACAGGTATTCGGCCAACTCTGTGGCCTTACGGGACGTCCAACACTTGAGGTACAAATCGCGCGACATGTTTGACAGCCGCACGCCGTGGTGTACGCCAACGGTTGACACGCCTGGACAGGGAGTGTAAGACATTATTAATGTGTGAGTGAATGAGTGAGTGAGAGGCTTTAAAACATGAATTGAAGATTAATAAGTTAAAAACTGATATTATAAAACAATGCTAACTGTGTGATATTAAAATAATAACATGATCGATTTGTGTATGGCACTCAACCCTTTCACTTAATTACTTACTGAAAAAAGACATCAATTTAATTTTTGTAAAATTTTCAAACGTATATTTGCCCAACACTTGTTACCGTAAAATTATTCTCATATTAATATAGTGTTTACAACACACACTAAATTACAACAAGACAAATTAGAAATTGAAGTTATATGCAACAGATTTGAATCAGTTTAGCTACCATATGAATAAAACACTAGATAGTCATTTATTAATAATTTATAATTACAAAGTAACATTTAACAAATGTAATTACATTTCATTTTACCAGAGATTGGCGCGAATGAGACAAACCCTACGACGCCGGGACTCGAACTCGGACTCCGACTGCGAGCCCGACCCACAACCGCCGGACAGCCCAACAATACCGGACTTCGCGGTACAGGTGGCGGCCATACCGGGGCTAAAGGGGGGCTCAAAGCTATGGTTCGGGAAAGACTATTGCAATTTCATAGTCAAGGACTTTGTCAATCTGAACGAACCCTTCGTGGACTCCGTGAACCGGAACAACACACCCCGCATGCCGTGGCACGACCTGAGCTGTATGGTCACGGGTGCGGCGGCCCGCGATGTGGCCAGGCACTTTATCGAGCGCTGGAATTTTACCAAGTTTGAAAAGGCCAAGTTCAACGACAAGTTTCCGTGGCTACTGCCCAAGTGCTACGATAGGGTGGCCAGCGTACAGGTGCCCAGGTTTTTCCTGCGCTCGCAGCCGGTGTCGGCCCAAGTGGTCCGGTCGGTCGGCCACTGGTCTATCGGCCATAAGAGCACCGACACGTCGATACTGACCGCTCACATCGATCTCATCAATTCGGCCAAACACTACATTTATATGGAGAACCAGTTTTTCATTACGCAAACCCAGTCGGCGCCGCTCGACCCGTCCGCTCAGGTGCTCAACCATATCGGCGACGCTATATATCACAGGATTATCCGCGCCTTTAGGGACGGCGAGACATTCAGGGTCTTTGTATTCTTCCCCCTCTTACCGGCCTTTGCAGGTATGACTGTATTTATTTACGGTATTGATTGTATTTTGTGACACCTGTTCACTCTACTCTAGGCGAGATTGGCACCAACTCTGGCACCAGTATGCAGGCCATCACTCACTATAATTACGCCACTATATGTAGGGGCGAACAGTCGCTGATCAATCGCCTGCGCCGCGAAGTGGGCGACCCATTCAATTACATACAGTTTTACGGACTCAGAAACTACGGCCAACTTCACGGCAAACTGGCCACAGAACTCATCTATGTTCACAGGTTTGTATGCATACAATATAATAATTTACACACAATTAATACTAATAATATTTTATTACATTAATTAAACATATTGTACACTCGACTCCCGTTTATACATACAGTAAACTGCTATTAGTGGACGACAACAAAGTGCTGATCGGTTCGTGTAATATTAATGACCGGTCAATGTTGGGCTCGCGGGACTCGGAGGTAGCGGTTGTGCTGCACGACCGCCAATTCGAGGCCCAGGCGGTGATGAACGGCCAGCCGTACGCCAAGTGCGGCCGGTTTTGCGGCTCACTTCGGCGGCATCTATTCCGCGAGCACTTGGGTCTACTCGGGCCCAGCGATAGGGGCAGCCAACACTTGCAGGCGAGTCCCGCGTTGCCCGACATTGACATACGGGACCCGATCGGTGACCACTTCTATAAGGACGTATGGATGGCCACCGCCGCCCGTAACGCCGATATCTACGAACGGGTATTCCCGGTGGTGCCCACGGATCAGGTGCGCACGTTTGCCCAGTTGAAAGACTACTTGACTCGACCCAAACTGGTCCACACGGACCCCCAGGAGGCCCAGCGCCAGTTGGACAGAGTGCGCGGCCATCTCGTGCTCATGCCGTTGAACTTTCTGGAGGACGAGGAGCTGACCCCCCAGTGGGGCACCGGCGAGAAGTTGATGCCCAACTCGTTGTGGACCTAAATGGGTGGCCACAGGGGTGTTGGTCGCCCCCAGTTTTGTATATTTGATCTCGCCCGTATTCATTTATGTTGCTATGCAATTGTGTGATCTATTATGTATAGCTAGGAGTTGTTTTTGTTGTTTGAAATTGTGCAATAGTTAACCAAGATTTTTTTATCAATCATTTTACCATGTGCAACTTGTCATTTATTTTTTTTGTAATTTTTAATTAATTGGCATTTGTTTTTATGAATTGCATTATCTTTTGTTTATAATTAAATTAAATTTTTAAAAAATTTTTGAAGGAAATGTAATTTTTAATGGAATTATTTTGATTAAAAATTAATTGAGAACTGATATAAGAATATATTATATAAAGTTAAATTTATCCGTTAAAAATGATATTAAATATGTTTTAGAATTGGGTAAAACAATCTGGCTGAAAAATGTAGGCCAACGAGCATATTTAGCGGTCATTATGTTTAATAATTTTAATTTTTGCGCAATTATTTTGTGAATATTTTGTTCATATCTTACTTTATTCACCTTAAGCATATTCATACTGTATATCACTAACTACTGTATAAATATTTGAGAATTAATTAATGAGTTAAATGGGATAATTAAAAATATGAATAACACATAGACCTTATGGCTTTCATATAAATATTTAACAAATTATTTTAGCCTCCATTTGATAACAAAAATCATAGATACTATAAAACTCTAAATTAAAACAATTAAATTGAATTCAAAATAAATTAAAATGTTTGAATAGCTGTATCTTTATTAATAATTAGTAATTATTAATTACATAACAAAATTTACATTATTAAAAACAATTTTATTCAATGCACAAATGCTATACAATACAATGCCACCTCACTACTACACCGTGGAACATTATTATAAAGCAATTATACATGTATTGTACCAGGGAACTAATCCCTAGGTTCTGTGGAACACTTGCTATCGAGACATTTATTTAGACCGCATTCATCATTGAATTCACAGTTATCACCTTCATCTTTTGCGTTTGTACACTTGTCATTTTTACAGTAAAGACTAAAGCATTCACTATTGGATCCACATTCATCACCACGACTTTTGTCCCCTCGAGTTGGAGCGCCGCGTCGGTCCCTGAGATAGTGTCCAAGAGATTGAGCGTACGGTCCGGCCATAGCGGAGGCGAACCCAACGGCCGACACAGTGTTGTCCCCGTTTGGCATTATGGCGATGACCAGCAGTAAAGCGCGCACGTATTTGACCATCATGTTCATTTGATTGCCGATATTCTAGGGATTAATAGTTAAGTGTTAATTAAAAATAACGTTAATCACAATTAAGTCCTTACCGTATGTGTTGTTTTCCAATGCAGTGTCTGTTAAGAAATGGTGTATTGTTTTGGGTAACGTAGGGTTGTATTGAATTTTAATTAATAATTTAAATATTATTTTGCACACAGAATGCGTCAATAAATTTGTTTTTCACAAATCAAAACTTTTTGTTTCATAATTTAATTTCATAATTAATATTATACCATATTGTCATTAAAATAGCACGTACAGTAAATCAAATCAAATTAAAAGTATTTGGTAATAATTGTTAATAAAATTTTTATATCCTGTCTAAAATTAAGCTAAACATAACATTTATAACCATTTAATGCTTTTTGAGGTTCATTCATATTCTAGAATTGTTTTTAAGTATTATTTACTTTAAATTTTGCTCAACTCTGACAATTAATTTTGAATTATTCCCTATATTTAGCAAAAATTTTCAAACAACAAAATTTTCAATTAATTTAAATTTATTTATTTATAATAATAATATAGAATTATATATAAATTTTGTAATATAGAGATACTTTTAATTTCGGTAATCAATATATAATTATAGCATCACTTGTTTTGTAATTAAAATAGAAAAAATTAAAACAAAATAATTACCAAAAAATAGTTCATAATTCATATTTAAATTAAAAAATTTAAAACAAAAAATACATTCAATTTTCGTCTAAAGTTAAGTTACAATCAAATTGTCAATTAAAATATAAGTTAATTAAACAAAAAAAATATAATAATCATTAAATCATAAATAGTTATCAAAACTATTTAGTGTTTTCACTCACAAAACTCGGTGTAAATTTCATTTAACAAAAAAACAAACAAAATAAATGGCAATTATATTAATAATCAAATGTTTTGTTTAAATTATAAATAAAATGCAATAAATGAATGAATTGTAACGTCTATGATATGAATGACGGGATAATTAATAATAATATTTATAAATATAATAATTAAATATAACTTATAATTGTAATAATAATTAATTATAATATCAATCAAAGTATTTCAAAGACTAATAAAAACAAACAAATATTTCTTCAATTCATTTATCAATTGTTTGCCACAAAAAAGTGTAAAAATATATTCATATATAGAGATAGAGATTATAATATAATTAAAAATTATTAATTACTTATTTGCTATGAATTTATATTAAATTGTAATTAAAACTCAATAATCAATCAATAAATTAAATATAAATTGAATGCATGACAACGAGTAATGGATTGAGTGGTTTTGTATGTGTTTTATAATACAAATGTCTATTCAAATGGTATGTCAAGTGCGGGCCAACTCTGGCCACCGATCGCTAACTCCAAGGAACCGGTGGTCACGACACGTACGGACCGCCAGCGCCCGCACCGGAACAGGTGGCCAACGCCGCCACAGCGGCCGCTGCGCTCAGATGTGCCGACGAGTGATGGGCCGCAGCGCCGGTGGCCCTCAACGTAGCCGTCGCCGCCGTTATAGCGCAGGTAGTGTTAGTCAGATCAGCGCCGGAACCCATGCCACGACCCATATGATGGTCGGCGCCCATATGACCGGCGCCTACACCCGCGCTGTGCCGGCCGTTAGCCTCCTTGCGCTCCCTCTCCTTCCTTCTGGCCTTCTTCTTCTTCCTGTCCAGTATTGACACCTCGTTCTTAATATTGACGTACGTTTTGCGCAACTCCTGGAGCCGCTCCTGGAGTATGCATATGCGCCGGTCCGGGTCGGCCGACTGGTCCAGAGGGGCGCAGAAGTTGTACTTGCATTCGGGCACAAAGTCGTTGAACGAGATCTGCGACATCGAGAACGGCAACCGGTGCTCGAGGGCCGTGAGTGGCGAGTGTCGGTCCGCCCGGTGTCGACCTATCAGTGCGATTAACAGTAAAAACAAAATGGCGTTAATAAACAATAATTAACATTAAACATCTAGTTTAAAATCTAGTTAAACATCTGATTAGTGTATCAACTATTATAACGTTAACAATGCATAACCTATCGAAAAGTTGGGGAAGGGGTCAGAGTGCAGACCTGTGGCCGTAATTGCCATTAAAACTATGCTAATAAACAATAAAATTTAGATCTAGAACTAAATCTAGATAAAAATCTAGAGTTTGATTAGTGTATTGGCTATTAAAACACCCATTGAATGAACGATAGAAGTATACGAGGGCTTACCGGTTGAGCCGCGAGTCTTGCATCCGATCCGCTCTTTGGTGTGACTGCTCTCCGACTGACTGGTGGTGCGGACGCGACCTCTGCGGCGCTTCTTCGGCGAAACGGGCGACTTATTACAGTCGGGCCGCGAGACCATACTGTCCTCGTCGTGCGCCGGTGAAGGCATCGATACGTTGGCCTTACTATTGTTGTGGCGGTGGTCATCATCTTTGCCACTAGATATGCCGCCCATCATCGGTGTCTCGTTCTCCATCTCGCTGTTGGAACCGCTGCCCAACTTATGGCTGCCGTCTTTGCCGGTCACCGCTTCGGGCGATTGCGTAGGCGTCGAGTGATAGGGCGACGAGTGTTGCGCCGGCGATGACTGGGAATCGGTGTCCATCACCAGCGGGTGATCGTCCGGATGCGGGCACTTCTCGGGACTGGCCGGTACGGCCTCTTCGCAGAGTAGAAAATCGGTGGCGGCCGCCGCTAACGGATCCGCCGGCGGCTGGTGTTGAGCACCGGCAGCAGTGGCGGCACCGATGATAACACCGGCGTTAATAGCGGTGGCGGTTGTCGCTGTCGTCGGGTGTATGTCTTTGGTAAAGTTGGGCAACACTTTCATGTCGTCAATCGGCGACACGTCGGCCGACTCGTGCCGCTGCGGCGGCGTTGACGACGAGGTCGACAACTGGCCAACCGGTTGGTGGCTGTGCTGATGATGATGGCCGACACCCACACCGCCAGAGCCGTACGCCGGCACCGACTGTTCAAACAGCTTCTGCACCTCCAGATTGCTGTCCTCTTCGTGCGACAGATCCAGTTTTGACGGTTTGTTTATCTGGCGTTTCTTCAGCGGTGGCGCCACAACAGCCGCGGCCGACACAGGAGTGGCGACCACCGATGGCGGCGGCGACACCTCCTCCTCGTCCTTACGCTTACGACCCTTTCGTTTCTTAGGCTCCGATTTGGATGAGACGGGCGACGAGTGCTGAACGTCCGGCTCTGGTCTTGTCGTCGGTGTCGATACGCTTTTAGCCGATTGTTTGGCGCGTTTGTCCTCTACTGTGGCCACCAATTCAGGTGTAGACACAATGACAGCCGCAGCGACGGCTTTCATAGGCTTCACGTCTTCGGCGGTTGACTCGTCCGGAGACGACTTGTCGGTCGCCGCTGTGGACGACGACGACTCTGACGCCAATTTGCGAGTCTTTTTGGACGACTTTCGCGCCAAAGAACCGCCGGATCGAGCGCTGCCTTCGCGACCCGTGTCTGTTGTCTCGTCTCCGGTGGCCGACTCTTTTGCCGAACGATCGCCACTGCGTTCGCTGACATGGGATGAGCTCTTCGCGGCGGAACGGCTGCCGCTATCCTTAGACTTGCGTTTCTTCTTCAGCTGCTCTTTCAGCGGTTCCTCTTCTTTGGCCAACTCTTCCTCGTCGTCGTCAAAGTCGAACGCGTCCTTCACTGGCGACGAGAAGTCGTCAGTACCGGAACCGCTCTTGGGTTCGGGTTTTGTGTCAACCGTTTCGGCCGAGCGGACGGCCGTCGACTCAACGGCGTGTCCTTTAGGCGTCGCTTTCGGCAAACACTCGTCACCTAACGGTTCCGTTTTGATGACAGCGCCGAGCCTTTCATCCAATGGGTGACCTCTTTTGTGTTGCTGCTGCTGGTGGTGGCGGTGATGGTCGGCGGCGGACGACTCGTCGGTCGTGCCCTCCGTTTCGTCCATTAGTTTGCTTTCGACAGTGTTGTCGTCGTGAAGGTCGGGCGGCTGTACGCCACGCGTGCTCTTCGCTGCCGTCACTTCGGGAACCGCTTTAGCCTCACTCTTGTTCGACTCGTCGCCGCCCGCTGTGGCCAACAGTTGCTGTTTCGCACTCTTCTTGGACTCGTCGCCCGTTGTTTTAGCCACAGTTGGCGCTACTGTTGGCGCAACGTCTTCGGCGTTGGACACACTGGTGGCCATCGAGTCGTTGGTCGACTGGTCCTCATTCACGGACTTACTTCGGGTGAACTTCTCCTTCTTGACGGACAGCGGCGGTCGACCGCGTCTTCCCACTGCGAATACAGACAACACTCGTTATAATGTGCACTAAAAGCAAACTAAAAACTCTTCTAATAATCAATAAATGACAACAAACCCGGTGTGGAAGGGGTGGGTGTCTGAGCGGTCGGCGCTGTGGCTGCCGATGATTGCGGCGATTGTTGCAAATGCTTATCGGACTGAGATTTGGGCTCCTCTTTGACAGTGACCTCAACTTTAGCGGCGGATTTGCCACTATTGGGCGGTCGACCCCTCTTCGGGGCGGGCGTTGTCTGTGACTGTTTGCCGGGCGACTGACTACTGACGGCCGCCGTCGCGGTACTGGACGCCACCGACCCGTCCAGAGCCGAGTCGTTAGAGTGAGTGGACGACACGGAGCTCTGCGATGTGAGCACTGGTGGCCCGACAAGTGGTGGCACCGACTCTACCGCACTCTTGCCGGTTGTAGGAGTGGTCGTCGCTGGTGTCGTATTGCCGGCCGAAGATGATTGGCTGGAGCTCTGAGAACCGGTGGCGGCGGTGGTGGCCGGTGTAGAGGGTGTCGTCTCCTTTTGTTCCCTACCCTTTTTGGTGACCGCTTTACTACTGCCGCCGGTGGCGGTGCGCCGCCGGGACGGCGACCGGTCGCGCAGTACGTTAACGATGCGCGACTTTTTGATCCACTCGTCGTACCGGGAATTCCAGCCCGAATAGTGCACGAAGTACTTGTTCCGCCCGGTGCTGGCGTCCACCTCTACCTTCAACACTTTGGCCTCGTACACTTTCAACTGCCTGCCGCGGCCGTACTTCACTTTCAGGCCGTCGCCCACTTTGATGTTGGACTCGTCCACCGATTTGCCCCCTAAACACGTGGTAAGAATGGGAAGTAATTAATAGTTGTCATAAAATTAGACTCGTTTTTAGTAAACACTAGTTTTTAATGAACACTAGTTTTACTAATCATTAGTTTCGTGTTTACTATCACTACAACAGATCCCATACCTTTAGACAGACTCTTAGTGTCCTCTTCGTCGGACTCGTCTAGTGTCGACTGACCAGTCATCGTGTCCTCATCTGCGACCTGCGCGGGCTCGGCCTTAGCGACCACTGCCGGTGTTGGCGTCGCCGCCGCCGGTGTCTGCGGTTCGTCCTCTTTGTCGTCGCCCTTCCGTTTGCGACCTCTGCCTCGTTTGCGCTCTTCGGACGGCGTCGACGGCTCTTCCGCCTTCACCCGCACCTCCTCTTTAACCGCTGCCGCAGACTCTTTAGCCGCCTTCGCGTCATCCCTGGCCTCCTCGCGGGCCGACTCCCTCTCGCGCTCTCTTTCGGATTGCCTGTCCTTTGTCTTAGAGGGCGTTGTGTTGGACACCGACAACGAATCCAACGCACCGGCGGCTACGCTATCCTTCTCTTTGGAGTCGCGATCCTCTTTAGTGTTGTCCTCTTTCTTGGGCTCCCTTTTACTGGACTTCTTGGCCGATGACGACGACGTCGACGACACCGCAACAGGTGTCGACTGCGGCGCGGGTTTGTCCTCAACGGGTCCGCCGCCGCGGGACCGCTCGCCCCGGGAGGGCCTCGACGTACGGCTATTGACAGTTATAGTGCAGCCGAGTTTGCGGTAAAAGTCGTCAAACGAGTGCAGGAACTTCTTGTAGGCGGCCTTCAGCTGATACACGGCGGACGACTCTTTGCCGGGCGCCGAGTGGCCGCCGGGCAGACCCAACTTGCCGTACACGGCTCGCCACGAGTTCTTATTGGTCACCCGATTATAACCGCCCATTTTGACCACAATTCGGTACAGTTTGTATAGGTTTAGGTCGCGGCCGCCCACCGAAGGCGCCCGATTGATGGGCGTTCCCCTCTCGTCCATGTATTTGTACAGTTGGGCCACAAACCGGTCCTTCTCTTCCGACTGTTCGTCGTCGCTGTCGTCTAGAGCCGAGTCAAACTCTTCCGATGTCTCCACTTCTTCCTCCACCTATGCGTTTGGCGCCCGAAGAATGTCATCATTAGTGATAATTGTGATTAGTTTTGCACATGTAATGTACAGTTAGTGGTAGTAATTGAATACTGTATTTGAATTGTGTATTGAATGGTGTGTTTTTTGGGAAAAGTTGTTTGACAACTAGTTTTTGACGTTTTGTTTTGTGCACTTGTATTGTGGTGTAAAAGTATCGAGATTTTTCTGTTTAGACCTAATAATTATCGCATTACATAATACATAACATGATATTATAGTGCGAGTGGTTTAACGTGTATTTTGTTTGTCAGGGATTTAGGTTATCTATCAATTGAAAAGGCAATGTGTATTAGAAATGGGAATGAAATTTATTTTAAACTAAAAATATGTGTAGTTTTAAAATTTATTAGTTTTTTGTTGACACGAAAAATATTTCGAGAGAGAGAGAGAGAGCTATTGAAATGTAAAAACAAAACTATTTCCTGAAATAGAGAGAGAGAGAGAGA